GACTTCCACAGCCGAGACCCCCATGAATGACAGATCTGGACCAAACTTGGCATACAGAACTCCCATGACCAACAAAAAAAAAAATACTGGAGCGGTTTGGGAGGAATTGAAAGTGAGTTAGGGGAGATGTAGTTCACCTACATTTGGAGAGCACTCTGAACCCAAACAACCCTGGATCTGAACCAAATTTGGCACAAATACTCAATATACTCAAAGTTGAGCACTGGTGGAGTTGCAGGGGATTGATTTTGTCATTTGTGAGTTGTAGCTGCTTAGATTTATAGTTCACCTACAATCTTTGAGCATTTTGAACTCCACCAACAATGGAATTTTACTAAACTCCCATGACCAACAGAAAATACTGGAGAGGTTTGGGGGAGTATGGACAACAGATGATGCTGTTGAAGGTATTACAAGTCCCATCATCTGTTATACTTAACAGTTGATATATAGTAGTGTTAAGCACTTATTTTAAAATTGAAATATCTTGATGATGCTCTGTGCTCCCCCCCCCCGGCCTTCATGCGCCCTTGGGGCGGGGCCAACGGAGGTGGCCTTGCGACCCCTCCGAAATGTCCAGGCGACCCCCCTGGGGGTCGCGACCCCCAGGTTGAGAACCGCTGGTGTAGAAGGATTCATTGGATGTGACGACAAATGCAATTGTACTTGAGTTTGGCTCTTTATGTAAGTAACAAACACACACATACAACATAAATAGACATGAAATTATCCAGTGCAAAATCCATTAATGTACAGTAGAAAACAAAGTCAGTACTTCTTAGAAAAGTTTCATCATGGTATATATAAAAAACAAAATACAGATTTCATAAGACATTTGGGGAAAAAACTGGATATTCTTTATAAAATCATTACAATGGCTCTAAATAATGTTATATGTAATCACACTGATTAAATAGAAGATGTGTTAATTAGAGATGAATATCACTGTTAGCAGGAATATATATTTTAAAACCCATAATACATTCTTTAGTAGAACCATACTGATACCCTGACTGGGACCCCATCTACACTGCCATGTAAAATCCAGATTATCTGCTTTGAACTTGATTATATGGCAGTGTAGACTCATATAATCCAGTTCAAATCAGATAATCTGGATTTTATATGGTAGTGTGGATAGGGTCTGGGGCTGGATCTACACTGCCATATAATCTAGATCAGGGGTTCAAAACTTTTTAAACAGAGGGCCAGGTCACAGTCCCTCAAACTGTTGGGGGGCTGGATTATAATTTGAAAAAAACACGAATGAATTTCTATGCACACTGCACATATTTTATTTGTAGTGCAAAAATCACTTAAAAACAATACAATAATTAAAATGAAGAACAATTTCAACAAATATAAACTTAATAGCATTTCAATGGGAAGTGTGGACCTGCTTTTGGCTGATAAGATAGGATTGTTGTTGTTGTTGTGTACTTCCAAGTCGTTTCAGACTTAGGTTGACCCTGAGCAAGGGCTGGGGAAATGGCCTTGGAGGGCCGTATCCGGCCCCGGGCCTTAGTTTGAGGACCCCTGATCTAGATTATCAAATCAAATGTTCCAGATTATCTGCTTTAAACTGGATTATATAAGTTTACATTGCCATGTAATCCAGTTCAAAGCAGATAACCCGCATTTATATGGCAGTGTAGAGCCCCATCTACATTGCCATATAAAATCCAAGTTAAGTGCTTTGAACTGGATTATATGGTAGTGTAGACTCATCTAATCCAGTTCAAAGCAGATAATCTGGATTTTATATGGCAATGTAGATGCGGCCCTTATGGGAGGTACATATAATCTAGTTCAAAGCAAAAAATGTGAATTATTTGCTTTGATAATATGGATTATATGATAATTCGGGGTCTTAAAGACTAAAAGACCTGGAAAACAACACAAAAATCTGAGGGCCTCTGTTACATACTGGAGGAAGTATGCATTTATGAAATGCAAACCATTGAGGTTCTACTATATTTCTAAATTGGCTCCCTTACATGCATTTGCTACTATGCTATAAAAAGAATTTTAAAAAATGTTAAATATACATCTCATTGCATCTCATTGCATTTGAGATCCTGCAAAACTGGGAATGCTGTTGATGCAACATATGGCCAAAGTGTTCTTTGCTCTTATGTCAACAGGGGAACCTTCCACACAGCCCTATATCCCAGGATATCAAGACAGAAAATCCCTCAATATGTGCTTTGAATAGGAAGGGAAGATCGAAGGAAGATCGATGCTTTTGAGCTGTGGTGTTGGAGGAAAGTTCTGAGAGTGCCTTGGACTGCGAGAAGATCCAACCAGTCCATCCTCCAGGAAATAAAGCCCGACTGCTCATTGGAAGGAAGGATACTAGAGACAAAGTTGAAGTACTTTGGCCACATCATGAGGAGACAGCAAAGTCTAGAGAAGGCAATTATGCTGGGGAAAGTGGAAGGCAAAAGGAAGAGGGGCCGACCAAGGGCAAGATGGATGGATGGCATCCTTGAAGTGACTGGACTGACCTTGAAGGAGCTGGGGGTGGTGACGGCCGACAGGGAGCTTTGGCGTGGGCTGGTCCATGAGGTCACGAAGAGTCGGAGACGACTGAACGAATGAACAACAACAATGTGCTTTGAACTGGGTTATCTGAGTCCATACTTGAATAATGTGGGATTTTCTGCCTTGATATTCTGGGATATAGGGCTGTGTGAAAGGGCCCAGGGTTAGAAGTTAATTCAGTGAAATTGTAGATCCATCTTTCATGGCTCAAATAATGACAAAGGAAGGCACTCTGGTTTCACATATGACAAGTAGGATGGTTGATAAAAACAATTAACAAGAGATGTGAATCAAGAAATATTTTATGCTACAATCTTCACACTGTGAATGACTTTCTAGAAAAAGTTCTAGTCTAGTGAAAGTGTTGAATTAGGTATGGGAGATCTCCTACTAGGACCTGTTCGAACAGACCCAAATTTGACAGTGATGATGGTTTTTGATAGTTTCGCCATGGAGCCCATAAGACTATTTCTGGGTCGGCTCTGTGGGCCGAAGTGGAATAAAACCGATGATGAAAGACAGGAGGCACCCTGTCTTTCAGTACAAATAAATGAAGACCACTGACTTCTTCATGCTTCCCCCCATGTCATGAGGTAGGGGAGAAAGCCGGGATGGTATGGGGTGACATGTCCTCATGCTGGGTGGCGATCTTCGATGATTCCAGTGACACATGTTACAAGGTCCCTAATGTCGGTTTCAGATTCAGATCAGTGGGATCGCTCCAAAATTACTAATTATTCATGATATGAAGCAACCCCAAGGCCGTAGCCAGGAAAAAAATTCAGGGGGGGGGATTTTGAAAATTTTGGAGGGGGTTGAAAATTTCGGTGTGTGTGTGTGTGTGTTGAAACCTGCCTCCTAGCTCACGCTGAAGCAAAGAGCACAGCAGGGGGCAGAGCAGCCTTCAATAGCCTGCAGCTTGGCCCCTTTCAACCACCTCCACTAAGTCTGGCCTCCTTAATGAGAGCATTCAACACCCCCCCCCCCCAACTTGGTTGCTTCGCTACATCGGCTATTGCTGCAAGTAATGACGGTATGAATAAATTGTCAATATTTGCTTGAGATAGTGCTTGCAGTTCTGGAGGGACTCTTAATTTTTTGCATCTCATAGACTTAGCATGGGGTTTTGGTTAACCAGTTAAAATTCATGAGTAAGCCATATTTTTAACCTGAAAATTTGGGGGGGGGGTTTGAACCCCTAACCCCCCCCCCCCCCCCCCGCCTACAGGCCTGAGCAACCCTACTATATAATGCAATTCAATGATGTTAAACTGCATTACATGGCAGTGTACATGGGACATCAGTTGCATTTCCTCATCAGTAAAATAAAATATCATATATACTCGAGTATAAGCCAGCCCAAATATAAGCTGAGGCACCTATTTTTACCCCCAAAAAATCTGGGAAAAATTATTGACTCGAGCATAAGCCGAGGGTGGGAAATGCAGCAGCTGCTGCTAAATTTCAGAAATAAATGGGAAGGGGTTGTTGAAAAAGTAGAGGAATGAGGTGGAAAGTAGGACAGATTGGAGAGGGAAGGGGCAACTGGGGAAGGGGAAATGACTGAGGTGTGAAAGGGGGTTGGAAACTGGGAAAGGCTGGGATGGAAAGGGGAGCTGGAAAAGTGGGAAAAACCTCCATCTAGAGCAGGGATCCTCAAACTTTGTAAACAGAGGGCCAGATCACAATCCCTCAAACTCTTGGAGGGCAGGATTATAATTTGAAAAAAGCATGAATGAATTCCTATGTACACTGCACATATCTAATCTGTAGTGCAAAAAACACTTAAAACAATAAAATAATTAGAATGAAGAACAATTTTAACAAATATAAACTTATTGTCGAAGGCTTTCATGGCTGGAATCACTGGGTTGTTGTAGGTTTTTTCGGGCTATATGGCCATGTTCTAGAGGCATTTTCTCCTGACGTTTCGCCTGCATCTATGGCAAGCATCCTCAGAGGTAGTGAGGTCTGTTGGAACTAGGAAACAATCTGGGACATCTAATCACCTCTCAACAAAAGATTGCCCCAGGCACTACCAGGCCAACAAATGCTAATCAAGGTGGTCAGTTGAAACATTCACACCTAGCTCCAGCAGACAAGAGTCCTTTGTCCCACCCTGGTCATTCCACAAATATATAAACCCCTTTTCTTAGTTCTCACTACAGACCTCACTACCTCTGAGGATGCTTGCAATAGATGCAGGCGAAATGTCAGGAGAGAATGCCTCTAGAACATGGCCATATAGCCCGAAAAAACCTACAACAACCCAAATATAAACTTATTAGTATTTCAATGGGAAGTATGGCCCTGCTTTTGGCTGATGAGATACGATTTTTGTTGTTGTTGTTGTTGTTGTGTGCTTTCAAGTCATTTCAGACTTAGGTTGACCCTGTGCGAGGGCTGGTTAAATGACCTTGGAGAGCCGTATTCGGCCCTCGGGCCTTAGTTTGAGGACCCCTGATCTAGAGTGTGAAGTGGAGATTGGGAAAGGCTGGGGAAATTGAGGTGGAAAAAGTAGGGCAACTGGAAAAGATTGGGTTGGGGAAAGGAAGATTGCAAAATGAGCAAGACTGAGGTGCAAAAGGGAGGCTAGAAAGGCAGAAAGATTGGAGTGGGAAAGGAGCAAGTGGAGAAGTGGGAAAGATTGAAGTGGGAAATGGGGCTGGGAAAGTGGAAAAGACTGGGATGAGAAAGAGGAGCTGGGAAAGTGGTAAACTGTGGTAGGAAAAGGAGCAAGACCAAAACGGGAAAGAGAGGCTGGAACCTGGGAAATGCTGGGATGGAAAAGTGGGAGAGAGGGGCTGGGAATAGTAAAGGCTGGGGCAGAAAGGGGGAAACTAGAAAAAGGGAAGACTGGGTGGGAAAGAGGTGTTGGAAAAGTGGGGAGAGAGGAGAAGAAGGAGCGTGCTCTCTCCTCCCCTCTTGGCACAGTGACCCAGCTGGGCTGCTGTGTGGAGAGGTGAGGGTGCTGACAGGAAGATATGGGGCTGAAAGAAGGGTTCTTTTAGCCCCACGCCTTTCTGCCAGGACCCTCACTCAAGTATAAGCTGAGGGGGACTTTTTCAGCCTGAAAAAGAGCTGAAAAACTAGGCTTATACTCAAGTATGTACAGTAATAAAGGCACCTTGTCACAGGTCTCTTGAGAAAACAAATACAATGAGAGATTTTCACTGAAAATCAGTTAGAATAGTTACAGAGCATGGAAAACTAGAAGGCTTTCACTCAACAGGACAAGCACAATTGTGTTTTAAATGAAATGTATCTCCACAATAGACATTTTAATCCCTTCACGATGCAATGGGGTTTAAAAGATGCAATATCTTCTTGTTTCCATGACCCTGGTTTCATTCTTGGTTTCTCTTATCCTGATTATCTAAACCAGGGGTCCTCAAACTTTTTAAACAGAGGGCTAGGTCCCTCAAATCATTGGAGGGCCGGATTATAGTTTGAAAAAACAACAACATGAATTCCTATGCACACTGCACATATCTTCTTTGTAGTGCAGAAAACACTTAAAAACAATACAATAATTAAAATGAAGAACAATCTTAACAAATATAAACTTATTAGTATTTCAATGGGAAGAGTGGGCCTGCTTTTGCCTCATGAGATAGGATTGTTGTTGTTATTGTGTGCTTTCAAGTCGTTTCAGACTTAAGTTGACCCTGAGCGAGGGCCGGGTAAATGTCCCTGGAGGGCTGTATTCGGCCCGCGGGCCATAGTTTGAGAACCCCTGATCTAAACCTTCTTGGAAAGCGTCCTAGAGATGCCATTTGTGTAAGGAAAATGCATGAAGACCTGACTGGTCCTGTCTTCTGAGCTGACAGTCTATTGCTAAAATGTTGGGGAAATCTGTTGACAACATTCATTCAGTAAGTAAGGTCTTCACTGGGTTCCAACCCATAGATTTCAGCTAGCATTTTAAACCTGGGTCCCCAGTCATTAAGGAAATCATAATCAATATCTGAGTCTGAAGATCCAGATCCCAAAGAGCTGAGAGACTCTGCAATGGACTCGGCACCTTCATAACCATATATGTGGAGAGTATCGAAGGGTAGCAAACCCCCATCGTTGTCGGCATCATCTTTTTTCATCTCAATCATAATGCCCATCTCTCCAGTACCTGAAAGTCCATGTTCAGGGACTTTTTGGACTTGGCTGTAGGTACACGGCTGGGCCTCCATGGTCATCCTCGGGGACATCATTCCTCTCTGGCGTGCCGAGGTGAGGACAGACACATCGTAACTGTTGGTATCCATCTCACCACCGCCTTCTTCATCATAGGCCACCAGCTGCTCATGGATCTCTTCCACATTCTTCTTGAGAACATTCAGATCTTTCTTGTGTCTCTTCCTCCAGGCTATAAGCAGCATGATCACTGCAGATGAAATAGACGAACATAATTCATGGAGAAAGGAAATGACACAGACTTGTAAAAGCAAACTAGAAAATGAGCCCAAAAGTTGTGATTTTGTTGTGATAAGAATTGGAGATTTACTTACTTTGGCTTAAAGTAATGAAGTCTGGTGAATACAACCACAGATATGTATATGATGTTTTGTCATGTCTAACCACATTTAGTAGATAGCATGCTTGTAGACTTTGGTGCTGTCTTCAAAACAAATACCAGACTTACAAGTTTGCTAGCACCTCGTGCACATATTTTAAATCAGGCATGGGCAAACTTTGGCCCTCCAGGTGTTTCGGACTCCCAAATCCCACAATTCCTTACAGCCTATCAGTTGTTAGGAATTTTGGGAAGTCCAAACACCTGGATGGCCAAAGTTTGCCCATGCCATATTCACCACGTTTGGTTGCAAATCTCAGCCTTAGTGTGATGGGATCCTTAGGCTGGATCTACACTGCCATATAATCTATATTATCAAAGTAGGTAATCCAGATTGTCTGCTTTGAACTGAATTATGTGAGTCTACACTGTAGGCCTTTCTACATAGGCCTTAATAATGGGACTGGGATATTTAGTTCCTCCCAACATTGAGGCCCCACATCACCCACAACCCCTGTGTTTTCCCTAGGGGGTTGTCTCGATGCTTTACATGGAGAAAGGCCCCAGTTCCCTCATTTACCTCAAAAACTTACATGGGAGGGCCTGGCTGCATGTTCAGGCCCCTCCAGTGAAAGCTCCTGGTGCATGAAAATGACATTTCGGGATGATGGAGGGGGAAGTTTTGAGGGTACATGGCGGGCTAGGAGGGTGGGGGTACCATTCCACTCTTTTTAGTTCTTGGGGCAAGGCCTGTTGGTCTTCAGTCCTGATGGCACAAGGGTTTAACCCATTGCGCCACCGGGTGCTCCACATGCAGAGATGTTTAGCCTGAAGAAGAGAAGGCTGAGAGGAGATATGATAACCATATATAAATATGTGAGAGGAAGCCACATACTAGAAGAAAGGAGATTCCATCTGAACATGAGGAAGAACTTCCTGACTGTGAGAGCCGTTCAGCAGTGGAACTCTCTGCCCCAGAGTGTGGTGGAAGCTCCTTCTTTGGAGGTTTTTAAACAGAGGCTGGATGGCCATCTGTCGGGGGTGATTTGAATGCAATATTCCTGCTTATTGGCAGAATGGGGTTGGACTGGATGGCCCACGAGGTCTCTTTGATTCTATGATTCTATGAGATGTGAATTATTGTATTCCGATTGCAGGGACATACAGATACGTGAAGATTTGCATGTTCGGCTCAAAACAGTGATCTTCCCGCACCTGGAAATATTATGTTTGTTGCCCTTTGTAGCGATTGCTTCTGCGTTTACAGGGAATGGCGTCTGGCCATCCTCCTGTTTGCTGCGGAAGCTTCTGGGATAAAGGCCCTTGATCTGTTTGGAGACCTTGTGTGCATCGTCTGGTATCATCTCATAGCTTGTTCCCTTTCTGTTTTTATTGTTACTGTGTTACTATGGTGGTTGTGTCAATCATTTTTATCTCTTTTTTACTTATTTGCTCTGTATGTATTGCATACCACACTAGAATGACATTTTTGAAACAAACTTTTTTGAAGAAAAAATATTCCCCTGGTATATTTCCCCTCCTGCCTGTCCTCCCAAGGTGGACTTGTGAAGAAATGTGGCCATGTATTTACCAATGACAGTCAGTAGGCAGACGAAGATGGCCATCAGGGCATGCATGTTGACTCCAAGTTGTTTCGCGGCCTCATCACACAAGATGACATTGCCTTCCTCATCACATTTGCAGATACGGATGGAAAGGGTGCTCGTACTGCTCTGCTGAGGCGAACCATTGTCAGAGATGATGATAGGCAAGTAATGGGTTTTGACTAGCTCTCGATTAAAGTGTCCGTATTTGACAGTGACATTCACAGTATTATCTGGGGAAGAGAATGACATCTTATTAGGTGATAATCTGAAAGGGTGATTGCCACGCAGAATTCCCAGGCAGCTAGTACAGTTCTCGCTCCTTGAGACGAGAGAACATTTAACACATTCAAATCTGGGTTGCTGTGAGTTTTCCAGGCTGTATGGCCATATTTTGACCATGGTGATCCACGCCTTAGTTACCTCATGGTTGGAATACTGTAATGCACTTTACGTGGGGCTGCCCTTGAAGATGGCCCAGAAACTACAACAGGTACAAAGGTCGTCAACCAGGCTGCTAACTGGAGCAAATTACAGGGAGCGGTCAACTCCCCTGTTTAAACAGCTTCATTGGCTGCCAATAAATTTCCAGTCCCAATTCAAGGTGAAGGTTATCTATATATATAAAAATGCTCTGTGCATAATGAGTACCTTAAAAACGAAAGAACCAATGAACGAAATCACACCAAATTTGGCAACAAAGCGTCTCACAACACAAGGAGTGACTATCACTCAAAAATTTATGATTTTGTCATTTGGGAGTTGTAGTTGCTGGGTTTTATAGTTCATCTACAATCAGAGAGCATTCTGAAATGGGGCTACAAAGTGGAATTGAACCAAAGGTGACACACAGGACTCCTATGACCAACAATGGTAAGCAAACAGTATTTTGGTGACCCCCCCCCAACAATCACTGATATATATTTTCTGTTCGTCGTGGGAGTTCTGTGTGCCATATTTGGTTCAATTCCATCATTGGTGGAGTTCAGAATGATCTTTGATTGTAGGTGAACTATACATCCCAGTAACTACAACTCGCATATGTCTATTTCCTCCCAAGAGTGCCTCAAGAGCTCCCCTGGACAAAATCAACTATACTGCGAATGCTTACTTTGCGTAATGGTTGAGCCGCCCCTGCATGCGAGTGTGGAGAAGAGCAAACCACTGACCACCTGCTGCAATGCAACCTGAGCCCTGCTACATGCCAGATACTGGTCAAAGGACATTTAATCAACTACCAAGCTTGCAAATTTTGTGTCTTGCCTGTTTCTTTGTTTTGTTCTGTTAGAAATGTAATGCAATTGTCTGGTTGCCCTGACACGATAAATAAAGAGAGCATTCTGAACTCCATCAACGATGGAATTGAACCAAACTTGGCACACAGAACTTCCATTACCAACAGAAAATACTGGAAGGGTTTGGTGGGCATTGAACTTGAGTTTGGGAGTTGTAGTTCACCTCCATCCAGAGAGCACTGTGGACTCAAACAATGATGGATCTGGACCAAACTTGGCACAAGCACTCAATACGCCCAAATATGAACACAGATGGAGTTTGGGGAAAAATACACCTTGACATTTGGGAGTTGTAGTCACTGGGATTCACAGTTCACCTACAATCAAAGAGCATTCTGAATCCCACGAATGACAGAATCAGGGCAAACTTCCCACACAGAACCCCCACGACCAACAGAAAATACTTAAGGCCATCCAATCCAACTCCCTTCATCAGGGCAAGAAAACATCATCAACATCATCATCATCATCATCATCATCATATTTAATTACTTATTAATCGCCCTCCATCCGAGAATGTTCTAGCCGTTTTACAGCTAAATTGTAAAAGATAAAATACATACATACATACAGAATTTAAAAATCAACAGGGATCGAATGCTCTAGTAAAAAGCCAGGTCTTAAGTACTAGAGTAAAAGGTCCTAAGTCACGCATGGCTCTCATATAGGGTGGCAAGGAATTCCATAAGGTAGGGGCAGAAAGAGGAAAAGCCCTGCGTCTGGTACTTTCCAAGTGCAATTCTCTAGGACCTGGTATATAGAGTAAGTCATGTTGGGCTGGTCGTTGCGACCTCCGATGATGGGAGAAGCAGAGGCGGTCCCTAAGGTACGATGGACCCTGGCCGTAAAGAATTTTAAAGGTCAGAACTAACATCTTATATAGACCACGGTACTCAGTTAGAAGCCACTGGTGTTATATGGCATTTCGTGGGCGTTCTTGTGAGTAACCTGACTGCCGCGTTCTGAACAATACGGAGCTTCTGGGTCGTAGACATAGGAAGGCCAACATACAGGGTGTTGCAATAGTCCAGCCTAGTCCTCCTGACAAAGAGCCATCCAGCCATAGATATACATAGATAGATAGATAGATAGATAGATAGATAGATAGATATGATTCACACACCGAGATATATAATATCATAGATTTGAAAGGGACCTTTAAAGAAGGACAGTGATATGTTGCATGTTCCAGGGTGGGCAAATCAGACACTCTCCACATCAGCACTGACAAAGAAACAGCAAGAAATACTGTTTACCCACAAGCATAAAGAAATTACATATATTAGAAACTGACACTTTCTCATTACTTTATTTTCCAGATCAACAGATCAACGTATGGCAGGGGACAGCTAGTTACTTATAAAGCTCTAAATTGTTTGGGACCAGCTTATCTTCATGATCGCATCTTCCCTTAGGAACCCACATGATCTTTAAGACCATCAGGGGAGTCTCTTCTCTCGCTTTCTACTTCCATCTCAGGTGCAGTTGGTAGGGACAAGGGAAAGGGCCTTTTCGGTCGTCGCCTCCCGACTCTGGAACTCTCTCCTCAGGGAGACCAGGCTAGTACCCTCCCTATCCACTTTCCCCAAAGATCTAAAGACATGATGTTCTGCTGTGCCTTTGATTAGACAACTCCCTAGACAGCTGGCCCTAGCGAAGACCCAAAATCTCTCCTCGCACTTTACTATTGGTCTGTATCCAAAGCTATAATGATTTATTTTACACTGCTCTGTCTTTACTACTGCCATATGACCTATGCACTTTAGTTACCAGCCCTATTCTTTGAATAGTTGTTGCACCAGTCTGCCACCCATTACTACATTTTGGTTGTTGGTTTTGATACTTGTTTCATATATTGTTATACTGTTATAATGATGTTGTTGTATTTCGTATTGTATTTTACTGTGTTATGTTTTTAACTGTGTTGATTGGGCTTGGCCCAATGTAAGCTGCTTTGAGTCCCTTTGGGGAGGGGGGGTACAAAAAAAAAGCATTATTATTATGTATTGTCGGAGGCTTTCATGGCCGGAATCACTGGGTTGTTGTAGGTTTTTCCGGGCTATGTGACCATGTTCTAGAAGCATTTTCTCCTGATGTTTCGCCTGCATCTATGGCAAACAACCTCAGAGGTACCTCTGAGGATGCTTGCCATAGATGCAGGTGAAACGTCAGGAGAAAATGCCTCTAGAACATGGCCATATAGCCCGGAAAAACCTACAACAACCCATGATGATGATGATGATGATGTTCCAGAAGCATTCTCTCCTGAAATTTCATCCACATCTATGGCAGGCATCCTCAGAGGTTGTAATAATAATAATAATAATAATAATAATAATAATAATAGTAATAATCCTTTATTTTTGTACCCCCCCCCCCCCACATCTCCCCGAAGGGACTCAGGGCAACTTACATTGGACCAAGCCCGATCAACACAGTTAAAAACATAACACAGTAAAACACACAACTTCTGAGGATGCCTGCCATAGATGTGGGTGAAACATCAGGACAGAATGCTTCTGGAACATGCCATACAGCCCGGAAAACTCACAGCAACGCAATGATTCTGGCCATGAAAGCCTTCGACAACAAACTCAAACCTGCCTGGGTGGCCATGGCTGGATATTATTTCTTTACAGAGATCCTATTTATTATTCCTTAATAAATAGGAATAACATCCCCTCCCCAAGCACGTTTCACATTGATCAGAAAGCCATTGTTAGTTAATACTCCCATGGTATTTCCTCAGTGCTGTTTTATGAAATCTGCAAGAACATACCATGATTATCAACAAGAGTGAAGTTGCTGTCTTCAGAGACCAAGGAATACTTGAATTTCAATCCTGGCGACATTTCATCCTTGTCCACAGCAGAAATCTGGATGATCACCTATATGAATGAAAAAAGACCACAGTCTTCAATTATTTTCTGTGAATACACTGTGCAGGGACCAAAACATCTTGCCGTGAATTCTGTGAGGGGCCATAACTCTGTGAGAGAGCACATGGTTTGCATGCAGAAGACCTCAGGCTTACTCCCTGGCATCCTCTATTAAAAGGCTTGGGTAGTAAGTCATGAGACCCCAGAGAGCTGTTGTCTGGCCTAGATAGATAAATGGGCTGACCTGGAATAAGCCGGCTTCCTTGGTCATCATGCAACTTATATTTGAGTAAACAGGCAGTTTGGCTGCAAGACTGCAAGTCTCAATGAATTCAAATAGACTTTTTCTTGAGGAAATACCTTTGGATTATAGTGTATTAGTGATGATAGCCAAACCTCTGTTAGGATTATTATTATTATTATTATTATTATTATTATTATTATTATTATTGTTGTTGTTGTTGTTATTATTATTATTATTGAAGGAATGCATTATCTTTATTAAAAGCACAAATTCTCCCCACAAGTGCTGCAAACAAAAACAGGGCGTATACTCCTTCAGGAGTTCTGCCAAAGTTCTCCCTCCCTCCTTCTGGAATCAGAAACTGGATTATATGGCAGTGTAGATCCAGCCTTAGGCTCCATCTACGCTGCCATATTTATTTATTTATTGACTACATTTATGTCCTGCCCTTCTCACCCCAAAAGGGGGACTCGGAGCGGTCTTACAAAGGCAGCAATTTGATGCCATGCACATATATACACTAAAATTAGACATAAACATTAAAACCAAAAAACCAGCAGCAAAATCAAAACAATTTGTGCTGGTACAGCTGTACCAGAAGCTCCCTCTTTATTTGCATTGTACTAAGTGTTTGCTTGTAGCCCAAGGCTTTGGATTCTGCAGAAGGGTGGCTTCCTGTTAAAGTTTGCAGTTATAGAGCAGGCCCCCTGTCCAACATCGTTAAGTTTGGTTCCGCCCCCTGTTCAGGACAATTGGGAAGGGAGCCATTTTCAGTCAGTCTCGGCAAGGAAAGTCAATGTACAGGACGTATACAGATTTCTCCTGTACAAAGGCTTCAACCCTTAGGACCTCCCGGGGGAGAACAGTCTTAAGAGCATCTAAAGATTCCCAAAGGTTCCCAGGGAAACAGCCTTACAGCCCCGAGGAATTTCAGAGGGAGTAACAGCTTTAAACATCAAGAACTCCAGCTAAGTGACTACAGGCCTACTGGTAGGTCCACTCGGTTCTGAGACGCAGTTCAGCCCGGTAGTGGATCCACATCAGTTAGGTTTAGGATTACAGTTAGCCTGGGAGAAGTTTGGAAAGGGATTTTCCTTTAGAGTAAAAGTAACAGTTAGAAGTCACCAGTTGCTTGAAGCCAGGAAGCATTTGTTTAACCTTTTGAAGACAAAAGAAGTTTCTGTTGATTGTTCACCAATCAAAGACTTTGTTATATTTTACAAGCCCTCTAGAGACTGCTTATGGTGAAAATTCTTAAGAATTTCTCTTCTGGCCCCCTGGCTTCCCGCTGGGCTAAAGGTGCACGTCCTGTTTTAAAAGCAGCCAAGCGCGCGGCAGAACACAATTATTAAAATTACGTCCTCCAGAGTCAAGTTCAAGGCCATCCCACTAGTCATTTCACAATTTCATATACTCTTATTGCATTAACTTGTTAGCCAAAAGCTTGGTCCTATAACCAATTTATTACTTTCTTCCTGAAGGTCAGGAGGGAGGGGGCTGCTCTGATTTTGCTGGGGAGGGGAGTACCATAACTGAGGGGCCACCACTGAGAAGGCTGTCTCTCGTCCCCACCAATCATGCCTGTGAAGGTGGCAGGACTGAGAGAGGGCCTCCCCAGAAGATCTTAGTCTCCAAGGTGGATCATAGAAGGAGTTACGTTTGGACAGGTAAGCTGGGCCGGAACCGTTTTGGGCTTTATAGGCTAAAGTCAGCACTTTGACTTGTGCTTGGTAGCAGAAGGGAGGAAGGGTGGAAGGACGGAAGTGTATGTGGCAGCTTTCCGATTGGCTGCCACTGTGGTATTATTTGCATATGGTCACTGATTGGCCAGCCTCAACATTCTAACATTTTCAAGTGGCTGAGATGGGAAAGGAAATTTGCATATGGTTTCTGATTGGCCAACCTCAACATTCTAACATTCTCAATTGGATGACAGGGGAAAGGAAAGGGCCTGAGGGATTTGCAGTACCTTCACACACTTTCTGTGATGACTGTGACACTCATCCAATGACTGATCAAGCCCAAACTTGGCACACAGAGCCCGCATGACCCACTCTACATCCTGGTGCAGTTTCGAGGAGGATGGACCATGGATGATGGGACTTGAAGTACCTCCACTCACTACCTGAGACTGCTGCGACCCTAATCCAATGACTGATCAAGACCAAACTTGGCACACAGAGCCCCCATGACCCACTCTACATCCTGGTGCAGTTTGGAGGAGGATGGACCATGGACGATGGGACTTACAGTACCTTCACTAACTCCCTGAGAGCACTACAAGCCACATAAATAACTGATAAAGACCAACCTTGGCACATAATGCCTTTCTCAAATAACCTGGGCAGCGCCAAGTCCCCAAGCTAGTCCTTATATAAAATATAATTCTGTTTGAACTTCATTGTAATGGTCAGTGTAGACTCATATAATGCAAACTGAACTGCATTGAACTGGATTATATGAGACTACAGTGTCATATAATCCAGTTCAATGCAGTTAATCTGCATTATATGGAAGTGTAGATGGAACCTTATAGATCTGGAGTTACAGGTTCGATTTAGGGTTGGTGTAAGATGGAACCAACTTGAAGGCACACAACACGATGTGTTGGGACCCATGCGTGATGGAAGGCTTGACCATAGGGTTTACTGACTGGCAAGGGAAATGTGGAAACTTGAAAATGAGCAGCAAAGGCAGACTTGGCATTTGGTTTTTGATACGATACCTTTCCTTGTGCAGCATTTTCACACACATGAGGATCATACGGTTCAGCAAATTCTGGTGCATTGTCATTAATATCATCAACTTTAATGTAGACTGGTACATGGGTCTCTAGGTTAGGCACCACCATATCTGAAACAGGAAAGAAACCACAGACACAGCAGTTAGATGCTCTACTTCAAAGCAGAGAGATAAAATGCTTCAGCAAAACAAAATTTCTTTCCACTCGGTGTTGAAGATATTTTTTTCTCCTTAGTAACATCAAGGGAAATTAGAAAGCTATGCTGTGAATCGAGGATCCAATTTTATTGGAGGACATAACATGTGTGTCCTGCACAGAGAAGAATATGAACAGAATGGAGACCCTGTACTTAACACAGGTATATTTTAATATAGCATCTTAAAAATTGGCAGGTCTCTCATACATTGCATCTATGCTGGGATTACTTTCCATACAAGCAACACTGCATGCAGATTTTCTGTTAGCTTTCCAGGCCAGGTATCTAAAATAGCCTTCGTCCATAATAAACAACTCTACCCTTGCTATCAAAAAGTCCTTAACTCTTATGTGTCAGGGAGGAACGAAACACTCTGGGTGTAATCTTCTCTTTGTCAGCTTGTTTTTTATGGAGGGAAGCTCCTGAAATGAACGGATTTCTATTTATATAGATAGATAAATTTTATTATGGTCCAAAGACCCTTATTACACTACAGTAGTGTACAAGTTATAGAGGTAATGAGATTAAGAACATCCAGTGGATAAAATTTGCAAACAGTAAAAGCTGCTTAAAATACATGTTAGCTAAAAACAACGGTAAAAAGCTACAAGAAGTGCTGGTGTGTTTCAGCCTCAAGGTATACAGGCAATGAGAATTAAGATCAACCAGTTGCTTGGGCACACAGATGGGTAAAATTAACAGTTAAAAATTGCTAAGTTGGCTAAAAACATAGGTAAAAGACTTTCAGCCTGTGTCTAAAATTGGGAATTATCTAATCCTGGTTGCCTCAGAAAGAAACTTTGCAACGAAGCAGATTAAGATCTTTTGGGGAGGCCCTGCTCTTGGTCCCACCACCATCACAGGCACGTTTGGCGGGGGACGAGAGACAGGGCCTTCTCATTAATTGCCCCTTGGCTATGGAACTCCCTTCCTAATGAGATCAGGTCAGCCCCCTCCCTCTTGTCCTTTAGAAGGATGATAAAAGTCCCTCCTCTCGGTCCCACTACCGTCTCAAGCGCGGTTGGTGGGGACGAGAGAGAGGGCCTTCTCAGTGGTAGCCCCCTGCCTCTGGAACATCCTTCTAAGGGAAATAAGACAGGCCCCATCCCTCCCCTCCTTTTGAAAGAGCTTGAAGACCTGGTGGTCTCAACAAGCCTTTGAAAATGGGCAGTTCTAACTCAGCCCTATACAGGGGCGGCTTGTCCATTACGCGAAGTAAGCGGTCGCAGAACACTTTTTCTTGCCAGGGGCGCAGAGGCGCCTCTGTAAATGCCCCTTGACTGCGACTTGAGGAGCGCCCCTCAGCTCACAACAGCCCTAGCAGTCTGGGGGGAGCCTCGGCTTTCTTGCCTCGCTGCCGGGCGATCCTCTTCCCAAAGGGGCCGGGCCCTTGAGCCTCGCCTAGCCCCTCTCGTTCCTGCTCCACCCGGCCACCGGGTGCGCGAGCAGAGCCGGCGCTCAATCGTTCTCCGCGTTCGATCCCTTCCCCATGACCGGCTCCCTTTCCTGATCCCCCGGTGCTCCACCCGCCTCCTCTCCTCTCCCCAATCCGCGGGTGGGCCAAGGGGCGGAGCCGCCGCCTGGCCCGCTTCGGGTCCGGAGGCGTGTCTGAAGACCCCAGCGCGCACCAAAGTCACCTCTTCTCCTGACTTTCTCTTCAGTAATTTGAATATATCTTAACAATTCATACATTCCTCATCATGTATTGGTAGTTCTTTTATCATTTGTTGTTGTTGTTCATTCGTTCAGTCGTCTCCGACTCCTCGTGACCTCATGGACCAGCCCACGCCCAGAGCTCCCTGTCGGCCGTCACCACCCCCAGCTCCTTCAAGGTCAGTCCAGTCACTTCAAGGATGCCATCCATCCATCTTGCCCTTGGTCGGCCCCTCTTCCTTTTACCTTCCACTTTCCCCAGCATAATTGTCTTCTCTAGGCTTTGCTGTCTCCTCATGATGTGGCCAAAGTATTTCAACTTTGTCTCTAGTATCCTTCCCTCCAATGAGCAGTCGGGCTTTATTTCCTGGAGGATGGACTGGTTGGATCTTCTCGCAGTCCAAGGCACTCTCAGAACTTTCCTCCAACACCACAGCTCAAAAGCATCAATCTTCCTTCGCTCAGCCTTCCCTAAGGTCCAGCTCTCACATCCGTAGGTTACTACAGGGAATACCATGGCTTTGACTAGGCGGATCTTTGTTGCCAGTCTGATGTCTCTACTCTTTACTATTTTATCAAGACTGGACATTGCTCTCCTCCCAAGAAGCAAACGTCTTCTGATTTTGCGCCTACCTTTAGGAAAGGTGGGCATCTCCACCTCTGTCTTTCTCTCTTGGTTCCAATGGCTGAGGAGAAAGTCAGGAGAAGAGGTGACTTTTGGTGCACACGCCGGGGTCTTCAGGCACACCTCCGGACCCAAAGTGGGCCAGGCAAGGGAGCAAGTGCGGCAAGTGTAGTTACTGGGATGTATAGTTCACCTACAATCAAAGAGCATTCTGAACTCCACCAATGATGGAATTGAACCAAATATGGCACACAGAACTCCCACGATGAACAGAAAATATATATCAATGATTGGTTGGGGGGGGGGGGAGCGCCAAATTACTGTTTGCTTACTGTTGAAAATTACCTAGGGCCGCCTCTGGCCCTATACATTGTCAATTACGGCCTTATTCTTCCTACCAATTACCGTGATCATTTCCTCTAGTCGGTCCTGGAATGAACAGCCACAGACCTGTACCCAATATTATTGTTGCCTGCCGTAGCATTGCATTTAATTCCCAGCCCCCCCTAGAATTTTTGGGCTTGCAAAAATCTTGGCCTGTCCTTTTAAATTTTTTTAAGTTGCCTTGAACAGGCAGGATTATTTTAATATATGGGTGTTATGGTGACAATTTTTATGCATATTTTGTTTTGTTAATCTTATGGTTATGTTGTTTTTACTTTGTATGTTCTGTGATTTTTACCTGGGAACCGCTCTGAGTCCCCTCGGGGAGTGGTATATAAATAAAGATGATGATGATGATGATGATGATGATGATGATGATGATGATGATGATTATTATTAGACTACAGACTACCTTACTGGTTCTCAACACACAACGGAACCAGACTTCCTTGTAGTTTGCTGACTACAGACTAACTGTTTTTAAAAATGGCTGCCCTGCCAAGTGGCAGTTGGCTCTGCCCCTTTTTCCATGGCAACTCAGCTCAGAGTGAGTTAAGCTGGTTACCATCCCCCAGTTATGCTATTCTATATACTTACCCTTTTAAACACCTATCTATAATTACCCATAACTGCAGATTAAAATGAACACTTCACCACACCAAGTGACACTGTTGAAGGCACTTACTGTTTTGACCCACTTCATTGGCTGCCACAGTGATGTTATGCCAGGCATATTCTTCTCTGTCAAGGGGTTTTGTGGCAAAAATGCATCCACTGGTTGATATTTCAAAATACTTAGATCTTAGAACAGAATATCTGCATGAGGAGTAAGAAAAGAAAGAAAGCGTAACCAGTTATCTTGATGAAGAGAGATACATACTGAGAAAGAAGGAGTGTGTTTGGGAGAGAGATGTACAATAGCTTGTGCCTTGCACAAAATGTCCTGCTGGGAAAATGTGGGGCATGTAGCAACAGGTTTCCACGCCTGTGGACGTGTACCGCCAGAATCACCACAATCAGTGGTAATTTTGACGGCACATCGGAATCCACCCAAAGATTGTTCTCCATCATGTTCTGATGTTGCTGTCTCAGAGGCATTTTTGACTGGCTCCTTGGTATTCCTTACCCACAGAATAATTTGTAATGAAGTCTATCATGTAAAGTTGCCAAATGTAGATGTTTACAATATTGTTATTAACATAAAACAAACTATTTATTTTATATATTCTGTTAGATGCTTTCTATAAGAGGGCCAGGCTGTAGCATAGCTGGTTAATCACCAGCTGTAATAGATCACTGTTGGCTTGGAGGTGACAGGTTTGAAGCCCGAGTCGGATTGAGCACTCAACTGTTAAGCCTAGTTTACTGTCCACCTAAGCAATTCGAAAACAGCTGAGCTGTGAGTAGAGAACTTAGGGAACACTTAAAGCAGGGAGGTATTTTACGATCCCATAAAAATGCTGGCGGTTTAAGAAAAAGGAGGAAATATGATTAAAATTACTCAGTGTCATAGCAAATGAAGCAACAGCTCCCTCCTGTGACCAGTATCGAGTATAACCTCCAGAAACCGAAGTGGACATGCCAAAAATACCTCTATCTGTCTGTATGTCTAGAAAACGGCATTGAATGTTTGCCATGTATGTGTGCATTGTGATCCACCCCGAGTCCCATTCAGAGTGAGGAGGATGGATTATAAATACTGTAAATAAATAAATAAATAAATATTATTCAAAGGATGTGTTGTGTATTTTATAGGACAGTGACTGAAGCAATGATTAACCCCCTTAATGCCAAGTAAGAGGTCCATACTTAAACATCTGCAATAAATGCTCTACTTCTTTCCAGCAATTCACCCCTGTACATATATGACAGTAAGCTTCAGGTGTTACTGAGCCCCCTTCTACACTGCCATATAAAACCCAGATTATCTACTTTGAACTGGATTATATGGCAGTGTAAACTCATATAATCCAATTCAAATCTGAAGATTATCTGCTTTGATAATCTGGATTATATGGAAATGTAGAAGGAGCCTTAGATTATTGTCAAACTGCATGATTGTCGCACACTAAGGCTGGAGGCACACCTTTGAGCCTACAAACACTCCAAAGTTCTTTAGCAAATAAACAGTTCATTGAATAAATGCAAGCAGTATTGAAAAAGGCGAAAAAGGCAAGTAAAAGATTTTATAAGAAAGTCTAAAAACCATCTAAAACAGCAGGTAGGCAAATATAATCCATAAAAGAGAACAGGGTTGATATTTAATTCCACAACAAAATCCACAAATGCATAGTCCTTAAAATCCACAGAGGAAAATGTTCAAAGTCTCTTGAAAAGCCAGGAAACAAGGTTGGACATAATCAAAATCCACAGAGTAAGTACACAAGAAAACATTCACCAACAACAACTTGAACATGAGTCTTAAAGAAAGAGTTCCATGAATCTTGACATGACATACATACAAGACTTGACCGGCAACTGACGTTGCGCTCACTGAAGGCAATGCTGTGAAAGCCCTATATTTATTCAAAAAGACCTACACAAAATGCATTCCAATTCCTTTGAGAACTCTCCTTCAAATTCCTCTTTTCCCTTATCCTGACAGACCTTCTGACTCCCCATTGCAGGTGGCGATCTTGACAGATTTGACCCCTTCTATCAAAGGTTGATTCCTCCCCATTGCTCATTAACACATTCCTTTCACTTTCCTTATCTAGCAACCCAAGCTGGTTCCCATCAGACTGTTTGGAAACCATTCTATCTTGAGCACTAACAATCCCAGAGTCTTCCAACTCCCTTTGCTTTGCAGTTTGTTCTGTGCCCTCTTCGTCACTCACAAACCCCTGAGAATCTACATTAAAATCCAACATGGAAATCTCTGAAGGGTCCTGCTCTGAAGGACATTGAACATAACCATCACCCTCGTCTTGAGGCACTGCAACAACCCCAGTCGCCTGAGCTCCTACAATGACTAATAACTGGGGCAACTTACAGGGAGCGGTCAGCCCCCCTGTTCACTGGCTGCCGTTTATTTTCCGGTCCCAATTCAAGGTGTAGGTTATAACCTATAAAGCCCTAAACGGTTTGGGACCCGCCTACCTTATTGACCATATCTCTCTCCATGAACAAACTCGGGCCCCCCATTCTTCTGGGGAGGCCCTTCTTTCGCCCCTGCCAGTCTCACAGACTCGCCAGGTGAGTACAAGGGAGAGAACTTTTTCCTCTGTGGCTCCCCAACTCTGGAATTCACTACCTGGAGAAAATAGGAAAGCTCCTACTCTAGAAACCTTTAAAAAGAACCTCAAAACCTGGCTCTTCCGCTGCGCATTTGATGAATAGATTTACATCGTCACACTAGTGTTTAGCCTCAACTTATTTTTTGTTATTGGAGTACATTCCTCCCTTATGGGAAAGCTTGGTTCCACGACCTCCACTATAATGAGCTCTCCTCTGCAAATAATCTGTCTCTGTTTTATCTCACCTGAGTTTTTAATCTGCTTTTAATCAGCTTTTCTTTTATCCATTACATGTAGCTTGCCCATTGTCATTGTGACTGTGCTTATTGTAATCTTATATTCCTATGTTTTCATTTGATTTATGTAATTACTTTATTATTGTTCATTATTTGCATTTTCGGTTTTATTTTATGTAATTGTTGTTTGGGCTTGGCCTCATGTAAGCCGCACCGAGTCCCCATCAGGGAGATTTTTTGTCATGTCAGGAGCAACCGCTCCTGTTGTGAGAGAATTGGCCATCTGCAAGGATGTTGCCCAGGGGACGCCCGGATGATTTCTGATGTTTTTGTCATCCTTGTGTGAGGCTTCTCTCTTGTCCCCGCATGAGGAGCTGGAGCCGATAGAGGGAGCTCATCCGCCTGTCCCGGGATTCGAACCTGCGACCTGTTGGTCTTCAGTCCTGCCAGCACAGGGCTTTAACCCACTGCGCCACCGAGGGCTCCTTCAGGGAGATGGTGGCGGGGTACAAATAAAGATTATTATTATTATTATTATTATTATTATTATTATTATTATTATTATTATATGGCTGTGTAGATGGGGCCATATGGAATTATTAGCTTCTGCACTTTCTCCCTAGCTGATGCTTTTGCATTTTGCGTTACATTTTAAGGCCAAGTTATTTTGCTCTTTGGATTCCGGGAAATCTTCCATGTCTGGCCAGCGCTGTCTTACCTTATTTCTCGTTTTGCTTTATCAGGATCAGTTGCAGAAACACATCCAATAGATTTTTTGGTAACACTTTCCTCTTTTACTGCAAATCTGTATGATGGTTGAGCAAAGACAGGAGGTTCGTCAACATCAATCACTTTGATGGTTACACTTGCAAGGCTTTTGGACCCTTTTGTTCGGGAATATGAGTAGTTGATGTCGGCATCAGTTGCTTCAACAATAAACCTATATGCGGATATCTTTTCAAAATCCAGTGGCTGAATGACAAAAATACAGGGATTTTAGTATGCAGTCGAAAGGACATACAGAAAGGGAACATTTTAAAAATACATTTGGCAAGCTACAATTACATGTCTGATTTGCAAAGTCCTAACTGGAGAAACGCTAGAAGCCCAGCATCTTGCAAGCCTTGCTTGTGTTTTGGGCCTTCATGTTCCATTGACTATGCTTGCTGTGCTGTCACGCTTGGGGCTATTAGTCTTAATGAAGGAGGGATGGACGTGGCACCTTTCCCCCAAGGGATTGTTTCTTGCCCTCCTATAGGAAACTGGAACTCCCAAAAATCCAAAACACTGTAAATAGCTCAAGATAAGTTTTATTTATCACAAACTCATTTCTTCAAAGCAATGACCTGGAAAACTTTAGAGGGGTGAAGGAAAACATACGTTACAGTCTCAATTAGTCCTGGGTCCAAGGGGTTTGAACCTGAGAAGCCTCACCAAGTTTCCTCTTTCCTCAATGGCTGTGAATGCCGAGCAAACCACAACCCCAGTTCAGATGGCCTATGTTTTGAAGACTCAGGATCTTCCTCTGGTGCCAAAAGAACCGGCTTGAAGGCGCTTGGGATCTCCTCAATGTTATCCAGGACGATCTGGACATAAAGCATGAGTCCCAAGGGTAAAAAATCTCAGAACTGGTGCTAAGACGTAACTTAAATCAGGGTAGTTTAGAATCAAGTCTTTTAATCACGTCCATGTGGTATGTACTCTGATGGCCGAATGAAAAGAAAAAGGAAGTTCTCCCCTCTTGCAGGAAGAGGTGGAGCCAAACAGTACTGATTGACAGCTACAAGCAACCAACCCATACAACTATACATAAGCAGGGTAAAAAGGGGCAGGATTAAGCATGATACAACAGTTTAAATCTTACAACTAACAGTTCTATACATAGGTGGCGCCACTCACACCGTCACACTTGCGTTCCATATTGATGGAACGCAAGCATAGTCAATGGTGAGACATGATGGAAGCTGCAATCCTAAAACACTTTGAGAAACAGGAACTGTCCAAACTGTTGCACCAGCTATTCTTTAAAATTCTTAGATGCCTTGAGTCCCAATTTTTGGGGAAAGGTAGGAAAGAAAGAGGAGAAAAGAAGAAAACAATATCGTGTTACCAAAATGTTGATGGAAGCCCATTTTAATCAAGGTCTCTAGTGCTATTTCAATTGCATTGCTTCCTGCTATATTTCAGAACTCATTTCGCAGTGCTGGTTATTACCTTTTAAATAATGGAGTCCTCCCTAGAAAAATGCACACACTTTTGTGTGTTTATAATTTTGTTTTATTCCATTGGACATTGAATTGCTTCACATAGAGTAGTACTGGGATGATAACACTGGAGTGAGGCCGGATCTACACCGCCCTATAATCCAGTTTCAGAATGTGGATTATCTGCATCGTATCTGGATTACACCAGTCTACATTGCCCTAAAATGCAGATCAATGCAGCTAATCCACATTCTGAAACTGGATGATAGGGCAGTGTAGATCCAGCCTGAGATTAAATGTATTACTGAATTTTTTTTGTTCACCAGTTTGAGTACACTTGATCCAGAAATCCTGAATCTAAGATCGGATCTAGTAAAGGTAAAGGTTTCCCCTGACATTAAGTCTAGTCGTGTCCGACTCTGGGTGGTGGTGCTTATCTCCATTTGTACGCTGAAGAGCCAGCATTGTCCGTAGACGCCTCCAAGGCCATGTGGTCAGCATGACTGTATGGAGCACTGTTACCTTCCCGCAGAAACCGAACCTATTGATCTACTCACATTCACATGTTTTCGAACTGCTAGGTTGGCAGAAGCTGGGGCTAACTGCAGGCGCTCATACTACTCCCGGATTCGAACTGCCAACCTTTTTGATCAGCAAGTTCAGCAGCTCAGCAGTTTAACCCGCTGTGCCACCGGGGACTGCACCCCCAGTGTTGGATCTATAGTGTCATAAAATGCTGTTTCCGAATGCAGATGAACTGCATTGAAATGGATTGTATAGCTGTGTAGATGCATATAATTCAGTTTAACGTAGATAATCTGCGTTCTGAAGCTGCATTATATGGTAGTGTAGAACCAGCCTAAAGCACACACACACACACATTGATCTGTGTAGAGCAGTGGTTCTCAACCTGGGGTCCCCAGATGTTTTTGGCCTTCAACTCCCAGAAATCCTAACAGCTGGTAAACTGGCTGGGATTTCAGGGAGTTGTGGGCCAAAAACATCTGGGGACCCCACTGGTGTAGAGGCTGATACTGGGAGCTGGGCTTAGCGCAGAGGGTTATATCACCAATCAATGTGTGTGTATATCACCAATCAAAAGGTTGGCTGTTCAAGTGCGGGTCGGAGTGAGCTCCAGCTGTCAGCCCCAGCTTTTGCTCACCTAGCAGATTGAAAACAGCAATGTGAGTAGATAAATAGGTACTACTTTAAGAGGGGAGGTAATAAAATGGCACTCATAAGAACATGCCAATGACTCGATCGTGAGGACATCTACAGACAACAAAGCTCGGCATATGAGATGAAGCAACAGCACCTCCCCATGGCCGGAGTCAAGCACAGCCTTGAGATGCCAGAAATGGAAAAAGATGGAAAAGCCTTTACCTCTGTTTATGTATTCACTGTCCTTGTTAATTGTATAACGGTATTGAATGGTTGCTGTATGTGTTCTGTAATCTGATCTAAGTCCCATTGGGGAGACAGAGTGTAATATAAATCAAGTTGCTGTGGCCTAGTTGGTGTATATGTGTTGTGTGTGTATATATATGTGTATGTGTGTGTATAAATATTTGTGTATATGTGTATATATGTGTGTTTGCACGCGCACGTGTGTGTGTGTGTATATATATATATATGTAGCTTTGTGCATGCGTTGTAATGTATTTTTTAATTTTTGGCTTTTAAAGTCTCTTCTGCTATGTGTATATATATTTATGTATATGTGTTTGCGTGTGTGTGTGTATATATATATATATAGCTTTGTGCATGTGTTGTAATGTATTTTTTAATTTTTGGCTTTTAAAGTCTCTTCTGCTGTGTGTATATATATTTGTGTATATGTGTATATATGTGTGTTTGCACACGCACGTGTGTGTGTGTGTGTGTATATATATATACGTAGCTTTGTGCATGCGTTGTAATGTATTTTTTAATTTTTGGCTTTTAAAGTCTCTTCTGCTATGTGTATATATATTTATGTATATGTGTTTGCGTGTGTGTGTGTGTATATATATCTATATATAGCTTTGTGCATGTGTTGTAATGTATTTTTAATTTTTGGCTTTTAAAGTCTCTTCTGCTGTGTGTATATATATTTGTGTATATGTGTATATATGTGTGTTTGCACGCGCACGTGTGTGTGTGTGTATATATATATACGTAGCTTTGTGCATGCGTTGTAATGTATTTTTTAATTTTTGGCTTTTAAAGTCTCTTCTGCTGTGTGTATATATATTTGTGTATATGTGTATATATGTGTGTTTGCACACGCACATGTGTGTGTGTGTATATATATATATGTAGCTTTGTGCATGCGTTGTAATGTATTTTTTAATTTTTGGCTTTTAAAGTCTCTTCTGCTATGTGTATATATATTTATGTATATGTGTTTGCGTGTGTGTGTGTGTATATATATATAGCTTTGTGCATGTGTTGTAATGTATTTTTTTTTAATTTTTGGCTTTTAAAGTCTCTTCTGCTGTGTGTATATATATTTGTGTATATGTGTTTGTGTGTGTGTGTGTGTGTGTATATATATATATATATATATAGCTTTGTGCATGTGTTGTAATGTATTTTTTATTTTTTGGCTTTTAAAGTCTCTTCTGCTGTGTCTTTCAGTGTTTTTATGAGTGATGGTCACTTGTTGGCCTGATAGCTGTATTGTGTCCAAATTTAGTGTCAATTCGTCCAGTGGTTTTGGGTTACATCAATCCCACAAACTAACATTACATTTTTATTTATATAGATGAGTAATTAGACGTTACCTTCTTGGGTCGAATGATTCCTTCATTTGTTTGAGGGTTGGGTTCGATTTCAAAGGTGTCTTGGTAAGGCCCTTGCACAAAACTGTACTTTGTATGCCTATTCTGTGGCTCATCAATGTCGTCAACTTCCAGGCTGCCAACTTTACCCCCTAACCTGATATTTTCAGGGACTTCAAACGTGAAGCTATCTGGAAAGACAAGGCAAAGTGTAAATTTGAAAAGCTACCATTGAGCAAACAACACAGAGACCTTGCATGTTTTAGCTCTCACCATTAAATAGCATGAGGGAAAACACCAAAATTTTTTTAATAATGAATGGACACAAAGAGTATTTGGAAAAAGAGAGTGTAGAGCACACACTCTACTGGGCAATCATCCCCATCCACTGGGCAGAATATGGAAAGCTATTTTAAAAACTGAATTAGATACGGTTGACTTTCCAAGCCTGCCATTAGAAGCAATTTAACTACAGAGAATGCAGAGAGGTGAGGGATTTGAAGGGGAGGTCTGTTTCCCTTGGTTTTCCTTGCAATCGTTTCAGGCTCACTAGAACGGCCTCCAGATGCCAGAGATGGAAAGGGAAACCTTTGTCTTTGTTTGTATTGTATGTTACTGTATAAAAGGCATTGAAGCTTTGCCTATATATGTGTATACTGTGAGTCCCCTCGGGGTTATAGTGCAAAATATAAAGTATTATTATTATTATTATTATTATTATTATTATTATTATTATTATTATTACACTCAGTGGTTCTCAACCTTCCAAATGCCGAGACCCCTTAATACAGTTCCTCATGTTGTGGCGACCCTCAAAAATAAAATTATTTTTGTTACTATTTCATAACTGTAATTTTGCTACTGTTATGAATTGTAATGTAAATATCTGATACACAGGATTTTCATTCACTGGACCAAATTTGGCACAAATACCTGATACCCCAAAATTTGAATACTGGTGGGATTGGGAGGAGGGGTGATTTTGTCATTTGGGAGTTTTAGTTGCTGGGATTTATAGTTCAACTACAATCACAGAGCATTCTGAACTCCATGAATGATGGAATGGAATCAAACTTGGCACACAGAACTCCCATGACCAACAGAAAATACTGGAAGGGTTTGATGGGTATTGACCTTGAGTTTTGGAGTTGTAGTTCACTACATCCAGAGAGCATTGTGGACTCAAACAATGATGGATCTGGACCAAACTTGGCACGGATACTCAATATGCCCAAATGTGAACACTGGTGGAATTTGGGGAAAATAGACTTGACATTTGGGAGTTGTGGCTGCTGGGATTTATGGTTCACCTACAATCAAAGAGCATTCTGAACCCCACCAATGATAGAATTGGGCCAAACTTCCCACACAGAACCTACATGACCAACAGAAAATACTGTATTTTCTGATGGTCTTTGCCGACCCCCCTGACACCCCCTCAATATGCTCAAATGTGAACACTGGTGGAGTTTGGGGAAAATAGACTTGACATTTGGGAGTTGTAGCTGCTGGGATTTATAGTTCACCTACAATCAAAGAGCATTCTGAACCCCATCAATGATAGAATTCGGCCAAACTTCCCATACAGAACCTGCATGACCAACAGAAAATACTATATTTTCTGATGGTCTTTGCTGACACCCCCTCAATATGCCCAAATGTGAACACTGGTGGAGTTTGGGGAAAATAGACTTGACATTTGGGAGTTGTGGCTGCTGGGATTTATGGTTCACCTACAATCAAAGAGCATTCTGAACCCCACCAATGATAGAATTGGGCCAAACTTCCCACACAGAACCTGCATGACCAACAGAAAATACTATATTTTCTGATGGTCTTTGCCGACCCCTCTAACACCCCCTCATGACCCCTCCAGGGGTCCTGAGCCCCCAGGTTGAGAAACACTGAGTTTTAACTGAACATTCATTGATCAGAGCAATCAATGTGTGTCGTTTACAGAGATACTGAACATAAAATAGAACATATCAAATCTTTGAATGTATTTGTGAATCTTTCATCTGTGATATTAATTAATGTATGGCAAGTCTACTAATATTTAGATTCCAAAGCAGGGACTTTTGAAGCTGGAAATGGAGATGTTTAATGCTTCATGGTTATGTGTTTACGCAGAATAACTTCGCTTTCCATTTAAACTACGTATCTTAAAATTAGAGGCAGGTAACTTTCTAATTGATCTCTTGTTTGGTAAAACACACCTCGCCGAAATGTTGGGAAGTTGTCATTGATATCTATCAACCGGATGAGAACTGTAGCCGTGCCTGATTCTTCTGAACGTAGACCCTTGCCATCCATTGCTTCCACTAGAATGGTATATGTGGAGTTTTGTTCTCTGTCCATATCAGGTGCAGCTGTGTAAATTGTCCCTTAGAATTAAAAATAAAATGGTTAGAACATGATAACAAATCTGTTCCTTCCGCTGACTGATCCAATTACGGCTAGAAGTTTATATACCTTAGTTGCCTAGCAAAGGATTGTCTCCCAGCTCAACTTGCCGGATCCCACTGCTCGTAACGGGATCAAGCTGCTGTGAGCAATGGAGGCCTGTTCTCCATTGCCTGCGTGCCCCCATCTCTCTCTGCAAACTCTATCCCAGTTATATCCTACCTTGTTCATTTAAATTTTAAATCATTGCATTTGGCCCAGCCATAGGTTTTTTAAATGCTTGTGTGTTACTGTTATTGTTTATTTTCTGTTATGAGATTTTGTCTTGTATTGATTGTTTTGTTATTGCTTTTGTTTATTGATGTACTGTGTGCTTGGCCTCATGTAAGGCGCACCGAATCCCTTGGGGAGATGGTAGCGGGGTATAAATAAAGCTATTATTATTATTATTATTATTATTATTATTATTATTATTATTATTGTCAAGATGTAGAATACCGTGTTGGAAATAGCAACCTTCTCAAGCCACCACTAGTTGTTTGTTATGTATACAATTCAGATTGCTTAAAAGGTAAAGGTAAAGGTTTCCTGTGACATTAAGTCTAGTCGTGTCCGATTCTGGGGGGTGGCGCTCATCTCCATTTCTAAGCTGAAGAGCTGGCATTGTCTATAGACACCTCCAAGATCATATGGCTGGCATGACTGCATGGAGTGCTGTTACCTCCTTGCCTACTCACATTTGCATGTTTTTTAACTACTAGGTCGGCAGAAGCTGGGGCTAACAGAAGGAGGTCACCCTGCTCCCTGGATTTGAGCCACCAAACTTTTGGTCTGGAAATTCAGCAGCTCAGCAGTTTAACCCACTGCACCACCTGATTGCTTATTGTATTGTATATGTGTAAGGTAAAGGTAAAGGTAGTCCCCTGACATTAAATCCAGTCATGTCTGACTCTGGGGTGTGGTGCTCATCTCCATTTCTAAGCCGAAGAGCCGGTGTTGTCCGTAGACACCTCCAAGGTCATGTGGCCGGCATGACTGCATGGAGCGCCGTTACCTTCCCGCCGGAGCGGTACCTATTGACCTACTCACATTTGCATGTTTTCGAACTGCTAGGTTGGCAGAAGCTAGGGCTGAAAGCGGAAGCTCATGCCGCTCCCCGGAATCGAACCTGCGACCTTTCGATCAACAAGCTCAGCAGCTCAGTGCTTTAACCCACTGCGCCACCGGGGGCTCCCATTGTATATGTGTACTGGTCTGCAATTTTACTTTAACTCTTTCTTGTGGGAGAGGCTGCATGCGATCAGAACTGGGCTTGTTCAGGGCTCAGCCTCCATTTTTAGAACAGAAGTATGCTTCAGACGCCAGCAGGAACTGTATGTAGAGACTTCAAGTACAAGTACAAAACTTTATTATGGTCACTGACCAGCACAAAACGGGGCACAAGCGCCCTGGGAGGGGAAGGACAACTCCCCAGTGAAGCAGTTATTTAAAAGTAGATTAGAAGACAGTTTAAAATCACATTTTAAAACACAGTTTATTTTAACAGGCATAGAACTGAAGGGGGGTCGGAGAGATTGATAGGAGGGGTCAAAAACACTGGGGGGGGGCACTAAAGGGGAAGGGAGGGGCACATTGTGAGTCTAGTAGCATTTCAGCTGTAACAGTTTCTCTAACTACATTCCCAGCAGGGTGTTGCCTTGTGGGGTCAATCATCATCCATTTAATTTTAAGTGCAGCAGCACAGAACTTAGCAACACTGTGAGTTATTGTTGTGCTGTCACGTGCTGGGCCTGTGAAAGAGTCTGTAGACAGGACATGTTTTCTGAATGCCCAACGGGACGCTGGGGGTGCCTCGGCTGAGAGTTCTTTTAAAGACTTAGAAAGTTCAACAAATTTTTTATTGTTGCTTAAATTTTCAATAAATCAAACAAATACTTCAAGGCTTTGAATCAACTGGTGGCTTGCTTAAATCTTGTCCACAAGGGACAGGCAACTTTCTTCATAAACTGTTTCCTCCTCCTACAAGGGAAATCCTTGACTCTCCCAGGGCAATCTGACTTAAGTTCTGCTGGCATGGGCCCCTGCCAGAATAGGCATTGAGATAGGGTTCCAGCTACTGACTGTGACACCAGAGATCACTTGCAGGAAGGTCGTGGAAACAATCTGCTGCATCCTGATTGACAGAACAGTCCCCCTGATACTTGCAGTAGTTGCTCCCCATTAAATCAGTTTATGCTCCCTACATATTTCTTACACTCTTGAATACACAGCAATCATGAACATGAATCAATTATGAATGCATAAGTCTAGGTTATGCATTCATATCTGTGATCATGAACTCCAGCCAAAACACACACATTCCTGAAAAGAACCTATCAACTTCCAGAACCAAAAAATACCAAAGATGTGGAAAAGGGGAAAAAAAAATGGTAGACTAATTTGGCAGTGTTTTGGTTCTTTTTACTGATTTTTTCCCCACAGATTCCTTTACATACTTACCAAACTTATCTATTCTGAAGTACTGGTTCCCCTGAATGACTTTGTAGAAAACGTCAGCGTGACCATGAATGGTTGGGTCATCAGCATCTACAGCGGTCACTTTGGTAACCGAAGTTCCTAGAGAGAAAGAATAGACAAATAATACACATATAGGCAGCCCTGAAGTTACGAACAAGATAGGTCCTGTAGGTTTGTTCTTAAGTTGAATTTGTATGTAAATCGGAACACATTTGAATTTGTATGTAAATTGGAACACATTTTTAAAGTGTACAGCCCCCCCCCCTCTGTTGTGGCTCACTTGGAGCCTGAGCTTTCTGAACCTGAGTTTCCTCAGGATAAGGAGGATGATGGGTTACAGATTTCTGAATCTCTTCCTGTTATTGAGGCAGACAGTGTTGATTCTGAAGAAGAGACGGCATTTCTGTTCCCCCAGGAAAGTAATGTTGTTTTAGATAAAGATAGTGAAACTTCACAGCTGCAGGTGGATGAGTCGGAGTCGGGCCCCTCGGTTCCCGGGGAGACCAGTCTCATGATAATGAGGGATCCAGCCTTGAAGATAGAGATTTGATTAGGGAGGACCGTTTGCTGAAGTGCGCGCCTTGACAACAAACGTGAAATTCGAGGTCAACATAATGCTTTCATGTTGGGGAAACATATTTAACAATCTGATTGAAGTCTGTCTGTTGTCAGTGCAATGTTGCTTATACCCCTGTTAACTTCTCTGAGATTACCTCGGCTTTTGGAGAAAGCTGCTAGCTCTTTGGGACTTTGGTTTTGCTCTTGAGTTTTTGGGGACTTTGTCATGCTGCCATAGATTCTTGTTTAACCAATGCTAAAGGAATATACTTCACGTTATTTGCCTCTGGATCTTGGGATCTTTGCCTTTGCATTTAAGACTCTGTTTTGTCTATTTTGCAACTTTACTTCTATGTTTTTGATTTTGCTTTTCTCTTCAATAAACTACAAAACCTACAGCCTGGATGTGGGATGGTGTCTTGAGCAAGGTGAATCTATCCTGAGTTGCGACTCTCTCTCTCTCTCTCTCTCTCTCTCTCTCTCTCTCTCTCTCTATATATATATATATATATATATTCTAGCTTTGGATAGGATAGGGAAGTGTTAACACCCCTGAGGCATTTCTTTTGCTCTGTGTTGTTCCAGTTCAGAAGATTTTCTGTCCCTCATTTTCTGTCCCTGTGATAATTGGATTTTGAAAAATGTGGCTTGTTGTGGAAACAAGGACTGGTGAGAAAGCTTCAGTGGAGACCCCCTTTCCCCCTGATACTAACTCTTCCAGGAGTTACTTTTCCTTCTGAGGGGTAGATTTCTCTCACTTCCTGTTGTCTCGTCCCTGTTTTTAACTGTGAGTTGCTTGTAAGGCGGATGTTTGTAACTTTGAGACTGCCTGCATTGGTTATTGTCTGGATTCTCTTTCAGTAGAATAAATTAAATACCAGTAAGAATGTGGAAGCATGCATGGGAAATCGTTTCCCAATATCTTATGGTTTTTCTATTTTGTGCGTCAGTTGATTGGTGTCATGAGAAGAATGTGTGCATAGACTCATCTCCTTATCTAGCAAGATCCCTCCTGTAAGTGAACACTATTACCAGGGGCATAGCCAGAAAAATGTTTTGGGAGGGGTTGAAATTTTCGGGGGGGGGGGTTAAAATTTCGGGGGGGGGGGGTTGAAACCTGCCTCCTAGCTCACACTGAAGCAAAGAGCACAGCAGGGGGCAGAGCAGCCTTCAATAGCCTGCATCTCCGCCCTTGTCAACCACCTCCACCAAGTCTGGCCTCCTTAATGAGAGCATTCAACATCCTCCCCCCCCCAACTTGGTTGCTTCACTACTGTTCTGTCGCGTGCTGGGCCTGTAAATAATTGTCTTTAGAACAGGATGTGCAACCTTTGCCCAGCGGGAAGCTTTTTCTCCAATAAACTACAAAAGAGAAGTTCTCAGAGGTTTCCACCACAAACAGTCTTTAGATGGCTTGAGAAGTACAACAAAGTCTTTTATTAATGAACAATCAAACAGAAACTTCTCTTGTCTTCAGTAAAGTTAAGCAAATGATTCCAAGCTTTTAGGCAACTGGTGAATTCCTAATCTTGCCCACAAAGGACAGGCAACTTGATTCCAAGCTTTTAGGCAACTGGTGAATTCCTAATCTTTCCCACGAAGGACAGGCAACTGTCTTCAATAACTTCTTCTTTAAAGGAAAATCCCCTTTTTAACTTCTCCCAGGCTGACTGTAATCTAACCCTTACTGATGTGGGCTCCGCTACCGGGTCGAACTGCTTCTCGAACGCCGAGTGGACCTACCAGTAAAGGCTTAGATGTTCTCCAGCTGGAGTTCTTTGGTCTTTAGGGCTGTTTCCCTGGAAATCTTTGGGGACTCTTAAGACTGTTCTCCCCCAGAAAGTCTTAAAGGTTGAAGCTTTTGTACAGGGGAAGCTTTACACACGTCCTGTACATTGGCTTACCTTGCTGAGACTAACTAAAAAATGGCTTCCTTCCCTGTCCAATTGCCCTGAGCAAGGGGCGGGACCAAAACTTAACAATGATGGACAGGTGACTTGCCCTATGACTGCAACCAAAGAAGCCACCTATCTGCAGAGTCCCTGAAACCTAGGACTGCAAGCAAACATTTAATACAAAGCAAATAAAGTTGGAGCTCCTGGTACAGCTGTACCAGAACAACTACATCGGCTATTGCTGCAAGTAATGACAGTGTGAATAAATTGCTAATATTTGCTTGAGATAGTGCTTGCAGTTCTGGAGGGACTCTTGATTTTTTGCATCTCATAGACTTAGCATGGGGATTTGGTTAACCAGTTAAAATTCATGAGTAAACCAGATTTTTTAAAAAAATCTGAAACATTTGGGGGGGGGGGTTGAACCCCTAACCCCCCCCCCCTTGCTACGGGCCTGACTATTACATAGGGCAAGTACCAGGTTGGTATATTTGTGACCCCTTCATTAGCATGACCTTCATGATCACTAGCAAGATTTCCATACTCATCAGCAAGATTTTCTCTATCCAGCTGTTCTAGTGGAAGTGTATCTGCAGCGTTACAATTGGATGCCAGATGGCACCTAAGAGCCTTCTGGCATTTGTTAATTCCCATGATGAATGGATGTAGTATCAATCTGAGAATTATGGCAACATCAAAAAGCATGGATTCTTAATGGTTGTTGCTCTTCAGCTGATTCAAATTTCAAGCTTGGAATAAACACATTAATTATATGAATTTGTTTTCACCCTAATCCTAACCCAACAATGCTTAAATGTCCCTGCAATCAGACTTGAACACATTGTAGACTAAAACATGGCAGGTTGAATCATAGCTTTAATCTATATATATATACATGCTCTGGTCATAATGAGCACCTTGAAAACAAAAGAACCAATGAACGAAATCACACCAAATTTGGCAACAAAATGTCTCATGACACAAGGAGTGACCATCACTCAAAAAATTATGATTTTGTCACTTGGGAGTTGTAGTTGCTGGGATTTATAGTTCATCTACAATCAAAAAGCATTTGGAACTCCACCAATGATGGAATTGAGCCAAACTTGGTACACTGGCCTCCCATGACCAACAGAAAATACTGAAAGGGTTTGGTGGGCATTGACCTTGAGTTTTGGAATTGTAGTTCACCTCCATCCAGAGAACACTGTGGACTCAAACAATGATGGATCTGGACCAAACTTGACAGGAATACTCAATATGCCCAAATGTGAACACAGATGGAGCTTGGGGGGAAATAGACCTTGACATTTAGGAGTTGTAGTTGCTAGGATGTATAGTTCACCTACAATAAAAGAGCATTCCGAAACCCACCAACGATGGAATTGGGCCAAACATCTCACACAGAACCCCCATGACCAACAGAAAATATTGTGTTCTGGTGGTCTTGGGTGACCCTTCTGACACCCCCCTAGTGACCCCCCCCCCCGGGGTCTTGACTTTCCAGGTTTGGAAATGCTGCCTTAAGTCCATCCACTTCAACTCCCTTCACCAGGGCAAGAAAACATATTCAAAGCCCTCCTGACAAAGGGCCATCCAGCCATTCACACACACACATATATGTATGTGACAGATGCAGTATCATAGATTTGAAAGGGACCCCTAAAGAAGGACACTGATATGTTGCATGTTCCAGAGTGGGCAAACCAGACAATCTCTACATCAACACTCACAAAGAAACAGCAAGACATACTGTTTACCCACAAAAATAAAGATATTGCATATATTAGAAACCACCACTTTCTCATTACTTTATTTTCCAGATCACCAGACTGGGCCACAGCAACGCGTGGCAGGGGACAGCTAGTATCTATTAAATCTCAACTGACTATCTACTAGGGCTGTGCAAAATTTCGTTTGTACCTCAGTTGTCGTATCTATATCGCAAGATTCGTACATAAGGTAAATGTAAAGGTTTCCCCTGACATTCAGTCTAGTCATGTCTGACTCTGAGGGGTGGTGCTCATCTCCATTTCTGAACCAAAGAGCCGGCGTTGTCCATAGACACCTCCAAGGTCAGCATGACTGCATGGAGAGCCGTTACCTTCCCACCAAGGTGGTACCTATTGATCTATGCACATTTGCATGTTTTTGAACTGCTAGGTTGACAGAAGCTGGGCCTAACAGTGGGAGCTCAATCTGCTGATTCAAACTGCCAACCTTTTAGCCAGTAAGTTCAGTAGCTCAATGGTTTAACCCACTGCACCACCCTTAGATCCGTACATATGACATAATATTAAGAAATGCTACAGGTGCCCATGCAGAAAAAGTAAGATTCAAAACACTAACTTTTCAGAAGAGCTATGTAGGTCTTGTAAGTGGCTCTAGATTTCTGTAGCGGGTGCCACTTCTCCCCCCAAAGAGATGGGTTTGGTTTTCCCCAAAGGGCCCTGAGGAGGATGGCGAGGCCGGAGTGGAGGGAGAAGCTCCGCTCTTTCCCCATAGGGGGTGGTGAATGGGTCTGGGCAGGCGAGAAGGATGGCCAGGCAAGGAAGAAAGCCCCTCTGGCATATGGCTGGCCCAGGGACCACACTTACATTGAGGCTTTAAGGTGGGAAGCAAGCAGAATTCTGGGAAATGTAGTTTAGGGCAGGTGCTCACCTTCCCAAACTACATTTCCTAGAATTCCTTCCTGAAAGTTTCGGTGTCATTCTCTAAAGCAGGGGTCCTCAAACTAAGGCCCCGGGGCTGGATACGGCCCTCCAAGGTCATTTACATGGCTCTCATTCAGGGTCAACCTAAGTATGAAACGACTTGAAAGCACACAACAACAATCCGATCTCATCAACCAAAAGCAGATCCACACTTCCCATTGAAATATTAATAAGTTTAAATTTGTTAAAATTGTTCTTCATTTTAATTATTGTATTGTTTTTATATGCTTTTGGCACTACAAATAAGATATGTAGGAATTCATTCATTTTTTTTTCAAATTATAATCCGGCCCCCCAACAGTGTTTAAAACGTTTGAGGACCCCTGCTCTAAAGTAGTGGTTCTCAACCTTCCTAACACCACGGCCCCTTAATACAGTTCCTCATGTTGTGGTGACCCCCAACCATAACATTATTTTCGTTGCTACTTCATAACCGCCGTTTTGCTACTGTTATGAATTGTCATGTAAATATATGATATGCAGGATGTATTTTCATTCACTGAACCAAATTTGGCACAAATACCTGATACGCCTAAATTGGAATACTGCTGCGGTTGGGGGGAAATACATCTTGCCATTTGGAAGTTGTAGTTGCTGGGAGGGTTTGGTGTACTGGGAGGGTTTGGTGGGCATTGACCTTGAGTTTTGGAGTTGTAGTTGTAGTTCACCTAAATCCCGAGAGCCCTGTGGACTCAAAAGAATGATGGATCGGGACCAAACTTGGCATGAAAATCATATGCCTAAATGTGAACTCTGGTGGAGTTTGGGGAAAATAGATGTGACATTTGGGAGTTGTAGTTGCTGGGATTTATAGTTCACCTATAATCAAAGAGCATTCTGAACTTCACCAACAATGGAATTTAACCAAACTTGGCAAACAGAACTCCCCTGACCAACAAAAAGTACTTCGATTGTTTGGTGACCACTGACCTTGAGTTTTGGAGTTGTAGTTCACCTACATCCCGAGAGCACTGTGGACACAACTTAAAGATGGATCTGGACCAAACTTGGGATGAAAATCAATATGCCCAAATGTGAACTCTGGTGGAGTTTGGGGAAAATAGAATTGGCATTTGGGAGTTGTAGTTGCTGGGATTTATAGTTCAGCTACAATCAAAGAGTCTTCTGAACCCCACCAATGATAGAATTGGGCCAAACTTGCCACACACAACCCTCATGACCAACAGAAAATGCTGTTTTCTGATGGTTCTTGGTGACCCCTCTGACACCCCCTTGCGACCTCTCCAGGGGTCCCGACCCCCAGGTTGAGAAACACTGCTCTAAAGGGATTTCAAGATAAAAGAGGATTGTTGGGAGTTGAATCAACCCTGTGAGATAGGCAAAGTTAAAAGGCAATAACTCCAAAGTTTACCTAGTATGTTTCATAATAATAATAATAATAATAATAATAATAATAATAATAATAATAATCCAGACTCTCCTAGAAAACCATAGCTTCTACGTGGAATTTCAGGGCAGGAAAAGTAGATGGAGGAGGCAAAAGAATGGCTTACCCCAAGGCAGCATTCTCACACCAACCTTTTAATATCTTTAACATGTTTAATATCTTTACTAACAATCAGCCACAACCACCACTCACAAAGAGCTTTATATATGCTGATGACCTTGGCCTAACAACACAAGCAAAAGACTTTGAAACAGTTGAAATCCAACTTACTAATGCCTTGAAAGATCTCTCCAGCTACTGCAAAGATAACCACCTGAAGCCTAACCCTGCCACAACACAAGTGTGTGCTTTCCATCTACGCAACCGTGAAGGCAACAGGAAATTGAAAGTCATCTGGGAAGGTCAAGAACTTGAAAATTGTTTCCATCCTAAATATCTCGGTGTCACCTTAGATAGAAGACTATCATATAGGAAACACTGCTTGAACACCAAGCATGAAGCATGAAGTAGCTGCATGCAATAACATCCTGCGAAAACTTACTGGCAGCACATGGGGTGCAGACCCAAAATTAATAAGAACATCAGCCCTTGCCTTGTCCTACTCAACTGCCGAGTATGCCTACCCTGTTTGGCATAGGTCTGCCCATGCAAAGCAGGTGAACATAGCATTGAATGAAACATGCAGAATAATCACAGGGTGTCTTAAACCTACATTTTGCTGTGGCTATATTTTACCCCACTTTTTAGACCTAGATTTTGGACTTCCGCTATTGCAAAGTTTCCCTTTTTAAAAAAAGGAAAAAAAAATGTTCAATAGATGTTGACCAAACTCTCTTATGTGATAGTTCAAAATGGAGAGGATAACAGTAGAAAGGAATATTGTGTTTGATAGAAGTGAATATATTATCTGTTTTCCTTATAAATGGAATGGAACAAAATGCTAGAGTAAGAAGATTATTCTGCCTACTTTCTCCCCGTCAAGGGATAAGGTCCTATGATATCTCCTTTTTGCTAGGATCCCCACTTTTTTGCATGCAAACATCTATGTTTTTGAACTCACCTAATGGTGACATTTCTGCAACAGACCCATTGAAGACTTTTTGTTCAAACACCGGGGCATTGTCATTATCATCCAGGACCACGATATGAAACGTGGAAGGTGGTTCCAGTTGCCGATTGTTATTTCGATCGATAATGAGGGCCTTCAGTTGGTACATGGCCTTCTTTTCTCTGTCCAGTCTTTCATTCACAGCCACATCTCCTGTGTGGTCATTGACTCGGAATAAAGTCCCTGCGCCCTCTCCTTCGAGAACATACTTTGCATTGGGATTCTGGATGGTTGATTTGATCTGAAATGCACAATTAAGTTGACAATGAGCTCTTGAAAGTTAAAGGTAGAATAACACTGCGAAAGAAGAAGGCTGTAAGGATTGGGGAAGCATTTCTATTCAGCATATTTTGGATTTTTTCCAGATTTCGGAATACTTGAATATACATTATGAAATATCTTGGAGATGGGACCCAAGTATAAATGTGACATTCATTTATGCATCATATACAACTTATACACATAGCCCGAAGACAATTTGTATACTCAACTTTCCCACCTCCGGGCGCAGCTGGGGGTGGGAGAGAGCTTTGCCTCCTCCTCCTCCGAAGGAGCTAACCCAAAGTAGTTCCAGCTGGAACTACTTTGGGGGTGGGGCCTGGGAAAAAATAGCCTCCCTCCAGCTCAGCCTTTACAGAACGTCAACCCACTACACCCGCCCATTAACAATATAATTGGTTGGTTGCCTTAGGGAGCCGGGTAGGATTTTTCTCCCTCCTATGTTCTAGAAGGGTTTTGTCACCTACCCTATACTGTTACTAGAGGGCAGATTGGGTTTGGGGGTCTTATAAATAGGTTTTGCGGAAAAACAGTTAAGAAATATAGATTTGGTGTGCACCCAAGGCACCCCATCTAGGGTGAAGGCCATTAACAGAAAACATCACCGGTTGTTATACTAGCCAAGTTGAGGCTAAAAGATCAATGGCTTTGGAATGGGGAGAAAGGGCCAAAATTATTTCGGGAGAAAGGGCCAAAAATAAGAGTGTGAGACAATACGCTACACCAAGAAGATGATCTCCTCCACTTTCCGCAAATCGTGGGATGAGGTCCTTACTTTCCAATTTCTGCTTGTTACATTCTTACCTTTCCAACATGGTGTGGAAGTGTCACATTAAGATTTTCCCTGATGTGCAGGTTATTCCAGACCCACTCTCTCCTCATACGCCTGTGGCTGTTGTTGTGTGCAGCAGACTCTGAGAAATCACCATAAATCAAACCCAAAGCCAGAACCAGGAAAATCAGAGAGTGGAAGCAGTGACTTGCCATCTCTGTAGGTCTGGTAGCCTTAGAAAGCCTGTAATAGAAAAGCAATACAAACAATTGAGAAGTAAATGAACATGATCATACCATATTTTATACTTAGGCACAGACACCCAAGAGCAAAACATATTTCACTAGTTTTCTATAAAGTAGGGCTCTACAAAATAAACCACGGTCAATTTTTAGTTATTCTACCATCTCTGCAACTGTTTGGTTACTCTTGCCTTGCTTTTGGGTATATGGCAAATTTCTTTTGGGAACAGTGTTGTTGTTCATTCGTTCAGTCGTTTCCGACTCTTTGTGACTTCATGGACCAGTCCACGCCAGAGCTCCTTGTCGGTCATCACCACCCCCAGCTCCTTCAAGGTCAATCTAGTCACTTCAAGGATACCATTCTTGAATGGATGGGAACAGTGGCGGAGTAATTATATTGAAGTATTCCACTTTGCTTTTGGAAATATGGAGAAAATGCATCCCCTTGCAACACTTATTTGGGGTTTGTGTGTGTGTGTGTGTGTGTGGTGCCACTATAATACCAGGAGTCCAGTAGGGAGCTACAGTGTAGGGCTGGGATTTGGTAAATCCAGGTTAAAGACACTAAGTAACTCAGTGGATGATTTTGGGCTGGCTGACTCCCTGCTTTGCTGTTCCTTAGAATCATAGAATCATAGAGTTGGAAGAGACTTCCTGGGCCATCCAGTCCAACCTCCTGCCAAGAAGCAGGAATATTGCATTCAAAGCACCCCTGACAGATGGCCATCCAGCCTCTGTTTAAAAGCTTCCAAAGAAGGAGCCTCCACCACACTCCGGGGCAGAGAGTTCCACTGCTGAACGGCTTTCACAGTCAGGAAGTTCTTCCTCATGTTCAGATGGAATCCTTCTTTCCTTCAATGTGGTCTACCTCACAGGCTGCTGTGAGCTCAAATGGGTGTGAGGCCCCTTCTACACTGGCATATAAAATCCAGTTTATCTGATTTGAACTGGATTTTATGGCAATGTAGACTCATCTAATCCAGTGCAAATCAGATAATGTGGATTATCTGCTTTGATAAACTGGATTATATAGCAGTGTAGGAGGAGCCTGAAATATGTTGTTTTGAGATTACTGGTAGAATGATGGGATATAAATGTAACTAAGGACTTCGCCCCACAATTTAGGGCTCAGTTTCCATGCAGCGTGGAAGTAGAACCCCACAGGAGTCCCATGGAGGCCATCACATGACACAAAGGCACTTCCAGTGGGACCTCGTGGGGCTCAGTTTCCAAAGCGCATGGAAACTGAGCCCTCGACCCGTGTTCAGGAACTGGGCGTTACCCGACTCCAAATGGCAGAAAGTGGGGTAAAAACAGACCTAGTTACGGAAAAGATGGGGGATGGCTGGCCCATCTAAGGATGCAGTGAAAGATGAGAGAGATCAGGGTAAGATAGTTTCTTCTGTTTTCTCGCTCCTCATGGGATGAGGTTCTAAAATATAAATAAGACCTAAATAGACTGTAAACACTGGATCCTGTCTCATCTTGGAAGCTGAACAAGGTCTGGCCTGGTCAGTAGCTGGATGGTGGACTGCCAAGGAATGCAGTTGCTGTCAACTGTATTTCAGAGGGAGGTAATCACAATTTTTTTTTTTGTCGTGTCAGGAGCGTCGCTTCACAAATCATTTCTGAGTATTCCTTGCCTAGGAAAACCCTTGTTCATGGGATTGTCACAAGCACATACATCCACAATAAATAACTGACAGAAGAAAGCAGTCAGTGTCTCCTACTTTCAGCAACTTATTCAAGACATGTTGGGTTAAATACACTTCCAAAGAAAAGACACTTTAGAGAAGAAATATAGATTAAAATGAAAGTTCACTCAATCGGTACAGGATGGCATTTGTTTCTTGTGATGCTATGGTTAAATCAGCCTTCATATCTCACACATATGAATATCTTTTGGGAGAGTAAGGAGATGAGTCAAGGTATAGTGAAGCAGATCCACTCAAATCTATATATTTATTATTCATGTCTACAGGGATGAGAGTGGGAAAAAGCAGAAACTGGAGAATGGGAAACATATCAACAACAAGAACAACAATGGAAACTGCAATCACAATAGTCTAAGCCTACACTAAATTTATTTATTTATTTATTTATTTTATTTACTTTGCTTGTATACCGCAGTTTCTCAGCCCGTAGGCAGGGGCGGCTCATCCATTACGCGAAGTAAGCGGTCGCAGAACACTTTTTTTTGCCAGGGGCGCAGAGGCGCCTCTGTAAATGCCCCTCGACCACCACTTGAGGAGTGCCCCCTCAGCTCACAATAGCCTTAGCAGTCCAGGGGGAGCCTCGGCTTTCTTGCCTCACTGCTGGGCGATCCTCTTCCCAAGGGGGACGGGCCCTTGAGCCTCGCCTAGCCCCTCTCGTTCCTGCTCCACCTGGCCACCGGGTGCACGAGCAGAGCCGGCGCTCAATCGTTCTCCACGTTTGATTCCTTCCCCATGACCGGCTCCCTTTCCCGATCCCCCGGCGCTCTACCCGCCTCCTCTCCCCAATCCGCAGGTGGGCCAAGGGGAGGAGCCACCACGCCTGGCCCGCTTCAGGTCTGGAGGCATGTCTGAAGTCCCCAGCATGCGCACTAAAAGTCGCCTCTTCTGACTTCTCTTCAGCCATTGGGACCAAGAGAGAGAGAGAGAGAGAGAGAGAGAGAGAGCCCCTCTGGCTGGAGGTATCTCCCACCTCTACTCCCTCCTTTGTTTTTGCACCTACCTTCAGGAAAGGTGGGCATCTCCACCTCTCTCTCTCTCTCTCTCTTGGTCCCAATGGCTGAGGAGAAAGTCAGGAGAAGAGTGACTTTTGGTGCACACGCCGGGGTCTTCAGGCATGCCTCCGGACCCAAAGTGGGCCAGGCAAGGGAGCAAGTGCGGCAAGTGTGGCAAGTGTAGTTACTGGGATATATAGTTCACCTACAATCAAAGAGCATTCTGAACTCCACCAATGATGGAATTGAACCAAATATGGCACACAGAACTCCCACGACGAACAGAAAATATATATCAATGATTGGTTGGGGGGGGGGGGGTGCCAAAATACTGTTTGCTTACCGTTGAAAATTACCTAGGGCCGCCTCTGCCCGTAGGCAACTCAACGCGGTTCACAACAAGAGCAAAAAGACAATCATAACAGCATACAATTTAAAAACCATTAACAGCATAGTATACAAAGTAATGACACATCAATACAACACCTTAACGTCTCGTCACTGGAATCGTGATCCAATTCATCGTCCGTAATTCCGTTCCTATATTCATCATATTCATTGCACTGTTTATCCGAATGCCTAAACAAATGCCTTTGCCTGAACCTCCTGGGAAGGACAAGACTTGAATGCCAAGGATAGCCAATGGCCATTATACAGGATTGGCTCTTCACCCAGAGCCATAGCAAACATGATACAAGGCACCCCAATTCAGAACATTAGTGTCTCAAAGGTAACTTCCTTTATGGAGTTTTCATTCAGATGCCACACCAGTCCTTCCATATAAGTTGACTGGGAGAGAAAAACACCTTGGACCATCCACCGTATGCCAAATCCTCAATGTACATGGCAGGCTCTCCCCCTTGTTTTTAGTCCTTGGTATGAGCTGTGCAGCTGTTAATTCTGAGGCTGTTCAAGATTACAGAATATCAGTCATATTCTAGAAAGAACACACATGGACTATAGTGCATTTGTTTCACTTGTGTCGTTTTGGTTTGATTTAGAGATTCCTCTTTCTATGTTCCCAAGAGATGCGTGTGATTTCACTTCCTCTGTTGGTTTTATGAGCAGACTGAATGTCACCAAACAAAATACGTTACTTCAGAAATGAAGAATCAGCTTCTTCTGGTGTACTGTGTTCACTGAAACTTTTCAAACCAGTCACAAGATTACTCAAATATTATGCCCCAAATTTAATTGCTGGTTCTAACTAGATTCTGTGTTTCAGTTGTTCCTGACTTCTTGTGACTTTCCCCTAAAAGCATCACATCCTGTGAGATCTTGAAAGCTAAGTAGAGTCCAGGGGCAGCTCAATCCATTATGCAAAGTAAGCCTTTGCAGTATAGTTGATTTTGCCCAGGGGCGCTCTTGAGGCGCTCTTGGGGGAAAATAGACCTTGACATATGTGACTTGTAGTTACTGGGATGTATAGTTCACCTACAATCAAAGAGCATTCTGAACTCCACCAATGATGGAATTGAACCAAATATGGCAGACAGAACTCCCACGACGAACAAAAAATATATATCAGTGATTGGTTGGGGGGGGGGGGGCACTATTGCTTACCGTTGAAAATTACCTAGGGCCGCCTCTGGTAGGGTCGGCTCTGGTTTGTACTTGGACAGGAGATTGTCAACAAATACCATGGACTGTAGGCTATATTCCAGAGGAAGGAACTGGCAAAACCACCTCTGAGCATTCCTTACCTAAGAAAACCCAATGTAATCCATCTGTTTGCTATAACCAACAGGCAACTTGAAGGCACATACATGGAGAAGGTGATTATCACCGAGGTTTGAGTGTTGGACTATGACTCAAAGTCCCTGCTCATCCATGGAAACCCACTGGGTGACATTGAGCTAGCCACATTCTTTTAGCTTCCGAGGAGGGCAAAAGCAAACTCTATCTGAAGAAATCTTGCCAGGAAAATCCTGTGATAAATTTCTTTTAGGATCACAATAAATTGGTAGTAATTTGAAGAGCCAACAACAACAACAACACCTTCCAAAGTCCTAGTTCAATGCAAAAACCACTACATTGCTCTAGTACAGTGTTTCTCAACCTTCCTAATGCCTCAACCCCTTAATACAGTTCTTCATGTTGTGGTGACCCCCCCCCCCCATAAAATCATTATCGTTGCTACTTCGTAACTGTAATTTTGATATTGTTATTAATCACAATGTAAATATCTAATATGCAGGATGTATTTTCATTCACTGGACCAAATTTGGCACAAATACCTGATACACCCAAGTTTGAATACTGGTGGAGTTATTGATTTTGTCATTTGGGAGTTG